TGGTACACAAATTACTAAAATGTGTTGATACCAAAAAAGATGCCGGCTCAGACGGTGTACATCCTTTACTGATATCTAAATGTGCAAATGAGCTTACCATACCCATTACATATATTTTTTGTAAGTCTGTGTCAGATGGGATTTTCCCATCACAATGGAAAAAATCTCTTATTACTCATGTACCAAAAAATGACAAACGAAACGATGTTAGTCAATATCGACCAATCTCTAAACTTTGCATTTTTGGAAAATTACTAGAAAAAATTGTGACTGATCAGATTTCTTTTGAGGTTCGTAATTATATTTCGGTGAATCAACAGGTAGATCCGTTGACACAAATTTGATTCAATTTACTGATTTTTTGTTGAATGCTATGGATAAAAATCAGCAAGTGGACGTCGTGTATACCGATTTCTTAAAGGCTTTTGATAAAATAAGTCACGATATATTACTTTTAAAGCTTTGGGAGGCCGGTATACACGGGGATTTATTTCGCTGGATAAAATCATATATAACGAATCGTTCCCAAGCAGTTTCAATCCGGGGATTCACGTCTAACTATAAAATCGTACCCTCTGGAATCTCCCAAGGTTCGCATTTGGGGCCTCTTCTATTTATTTTATATATAAACGACATTGAAAACTGTGCCAAAACTTGTAATAGACTCATTTATGCCAATGATGCAAAATTTTATAAAATTATTCAAAATGTAAACGACTGTATTGAATTCCAAAATGAATTATCCAATATATTTGACTATTGCTAACAAAATCACCTCTATTTAAATTTAGACAAATGTTCTGTTATAACATATACACGTAAGCGCAACCCCATCTTTTTATAATACAAATTTAATGATCATAATCTAAATAGGGTTGAAGAAATTAGGGACCTAGTAATAATATTGGATAATAAATTGACCTTTACAAATCACTATGACCATATAATTCAGAAATCATATAAACAACTTGGCTTTTTATTACGGGTCTGTAAACCATTTAAGAAAGAACTAACCTATAAAACACTTTATTTTAGTATGGTACGTTCAATCCTGGATTTTGGCTCTGTTATTTGGAACCCTTATTATGAATGTCAAATGTAAACGGATAGAAAAGATTCAAAAATATTTTGTAAAAACGCTTGCATACCGAACTGGATCAAACTTTACCTCATATGAGGACTGCATTAAAAAATATAGCATTCTCCCACTTAGGTATCGTCGACAGCAGTTCGACCAAATGTTTCTGTATAAAATATTAAATAGCTTTATTGATTCCCCTAACTTGCTTCAAAAAATTAAATTTTAAATTCCCACAAAAAGTGTTCGTCGCACCAACCGGTTATTTGCCATTCCCAGATCTAACAAAAAATATACAGCAAACGCATATTTACAACGAAGTTTGACCGCATATAATACATCATTTGCAAATATTGACCATTTCTCAAATAGTGTAAACCAATTTAAGCAAAAGGTATTTAATTGTTTGTTCCCTATAATTTAGGTACATTTTACGTACTGCGAACTATAGCTATTGTGAATATCAAAAGCAATGTCAATTCAGAATTTTGTATTTCATATCATTATATAATCTTAGCGTTCCGTGTAATATTGAAGAAATAAATGTCTAGTAATATTAGCACTTAAATCCTTAAGTTTTTTTTTTGTTCCTCATAAGTATATTTAGACTTATGTGTTGGCACTCAAGGTCTTTAACTTTATTTACTGTTAAGAAAAATTGTATCGATGTACATGACTGTTTGTTGTCCAGAATAAAATAAAAAATAAATAAAAAATACTTTAAACATTCCTTTTGATCTCCGTTCTTGTAACAAAGGATGTACCCAACACTCTTTTGGTTTTCTTTTATTTTTCTTTCTCTTTATAATGAGTAGCGCTACTATTGCAGCTTCTTCGACGTCCATTCTGCACGAATGTACTTAGAATACTGTCGCTCGGCTTGGTCTCTTGGCCCTAGTTGCTCTGTTTTGGTCGCCGGGAGACTGAGTCGCCAGCGACTAATCGACAGTGCGTAATGGCTCTAAGAGTCTGACATAACCCTACAGCCGCCTATAGGGTATCCATGAGGATTTCACACCCGCTCCCCCGCCTGGGAGGGATAAAGCTGCATGCGGCAGTCCCTCCGATTCCGTCGGCCTAGGCACGTCTTACGCATTACCCACGTAGACGGGCTAGGCTAAGCGCGGGCGCAGGTGGCATGCTACGTACATTCAGTAGCGGCTGACTAAGTGGACGTATTGAGGATGGCTCTAACTAAAGTGACGCGTAGTTGCCTTTCCAGAAGTTCGTATTTTATGCACGACATTTTAAATTCAAGAGACGGAGTGCATGAATTAAATAAAGATCGTCATAAAGGTAGCGAATTTTTGAATCTTTATGCAGATTATAGGAATTATCCGGTCAAATTTTATGAGTACACTAGAATAACTACTGAAACTTTTGATTTTTTTGTTTTTTATTTATTTTGTTTTCAAAAAAAAGTTACAAATTTTATGCTTATTCTGCCAAACTGCAACACAGTTTGTCGGCAGCAGTTCCCTTACAACATAAAAAATAAGATAACCCATATATATATATATTTATTTTCTTACACTAAGCTAGTAGTTATTATACTGTAATAAGCTATTGTAAACGGAAACGAGGTGGGTATCCAGCCCACCTCGCCTCCGTTCACAACATCACAAGGATCATGGACAGAGGGACAGATAGTGTTTTTTTAGTCTACACTTTAAACTATTTTTAGACAAAACATCTTTTAATAAATTCTGCGGCAATTCGTTAATTAAATACTTTAACATATTGAAGTTCATTTCAAACGCAACGTTAAATCCAAAAGGGGAGTGACCAATCCTGAAAAGGTTTTTCTCACCTTAAGGTAAGGTAAGTATAAATGAAGCTAATTAAAAAATCATGTATCAGTATGTAGTCAGTTTAATATTTCTGTAATAAATGCTTCGGTGTAAATAATAAAATCCCGTCGCTCGTGGATTCGTCTAAGTGCTTGGCCACGGAGACGGACTAGGCGCGGTTGCGGGTAGCGGCGGCGGTTGGCTAATTAAACAAATGTATGAGAATGTATGAAGTATGCCACGACGTGGAAAACGACTAGCGTGGGACGGACTGAATGAAACAAAATTTTTTGGACGAATCCACGGTGGCAGCATTTAATTATGGACACCGAAGCATTTATTACACAAATATTAAACTGACCGTCTATAAAAATGTATTAAAAGACTATGGGAAGAAATCAAACAGTTTTTCCAGATCAGGACAATAAGTTTTATTAGATAATACCTAATTACTAATAAGTAGGTACAAGTATAGTATAGTATTCGCCATAAAATACGAACTGCTGTCAAGGCAACTACGCATCACTTTAGTTAGAGCCATCCTCAATACGTCTACTTAGTCAGCCGCTGTAGCCGCTACTGAATGTACGTGGCATGCCACCCGCGCCCGCAGAAGTCACCCGCACCCGCGCTTAGCCTAGCCCATCTACGTGGCCAATGCGTAAAGTTCATCTGCGACCAACAGCATACACACTCAAAAAAAATGCAGGCGACACACGCGTGCGTTGGCCCCGTTCCATCCCTGCGCCAACCCCGCTTTCAACACTATCATCAGTCATCATACACACAAGACACGACTACTATGACTTTTATTTTTGAAGTAAAAACTTCTGTAGCGGCGTTGTACACTTTTTTTTATGGGTAAAAAATGTTAAACTCCCTTCAGGTTAAACACATGGGTTGATCACATCATGTCACACAATAAAATTGGAAAGGTTGTTGACTTTCAATATATTGGACATAACATAGTAATATTTTATTTTACCGTATTATAATAATAAGTCTCTATCTAGGACGTCCACGTGGCAGCTTTATTACGAAGAAAATGCATTTTTTGACAATAAATGTCGCTAGGTGCGCTTAAATGTGATTCATGTAAGTTGAGTTTTTTACAATAGATGTCGCTAAGTGCGTTTACACGTGATTCATGTAAGTTGATTTTTCTGAGAGATAAACTTTTTTAATGTAATATAAGTTGTCATGTTTGTGTACGATAGCTCAATAAATAAATATTGTATTCTACCTCATATATGATAGTACTTTTATACTTATAATTAAAGCAATTCGTGCAAAATTATTCCCTAACCATTCCAAAATATCAAAAATGCACAGCGTTAATATTCAAGTTTTCACTTCTGACGGTGTGCAACCCGTCGTTTTTTTTATTGTAACAATCGTGTATTTTATTTATATTTGTTATTATTTCTTAACAATTTGTCCATTGGGCAAAATTACGCGAAAATTTCATCCGAACTTCGGCCGACATCCGGCTTCGACACATATTCAAACCGAACATGCGACCGAATTCGACATTCGGTACAACATTACTGATGTGTGTCTTGCGCCCATTCTTCTCACCAGCTAAAAGATGTCCTGAATGTGAGGTAGATAAAAATATTGGACAATTCAAAAGAGCTTTCGATATAGTACCTATAATTTTATTTCACCAATTAGCCCAGTCCCAAAGTAAGCACTGTAAAGCTTGGCTTTTTAACCGACTTCAAAAAAGGAGGAGGTTCTGTGTTCGACTGTATTTGTTTTTTTCTAAAATGGATGAAATGAAAAAAGTTTAAACAAAAAATAAAATCGACTTCAAAATCTAAAATGGAACTAAAAAGTAAAAAATAATATCTGGTTCATGATGTGGAAGTCGGGCGGGTCAAGATTGAAAGACGTATTATTACCGATCAGAAACGAAAATCTATTTAATGTTTCAATCTTGACCCCATTTGAAGTCGGTTTTATTTTTTGTTTAAAATTTAACGTTAACGTTATATTTGATTCATATATAAGTATATTTATATAGAAATATATATAAACATCCATGACTAATGTACAAATGCTCGTATTCATCATTTTAACCCGGCGTATATACCACTCGGCCACGAAAGTCGTAAATCCCACAAACTTACTCGCCGCATCGCAATTCTTCTCGAAGAGCTGTAATCGAGTGAGCCGCAGCCTGGCAAAGGGACGCATTTCTCCATTGGCGCTGAAGAAAGGCGAACGCGGATCTTTGGGCCAGTCCGGGCGTAAAGCTCGCACCGGCGCTGGAGGTAAAGTCGGTTGACGACGAGACTATTAAAATAAAGAAATAACAAACTTTTATACAATCATACATGCACAAAGTTTGATGACGATAAACTAGCGTATTGTGTTTAGGTGGCTTTTTTCAAATCTTCCTTTTTTCACTTGATTAGGGACAAAAGTTTGATGCGCGAGCTGATAACTTTTCCCGTGTTCGCGTGGAAAACTCAACAGGAATCATATTCAGATAGAAGCAATTTCCTTAGACCTTAAGCAGAAACATTAAGGGACACTAAATTAAAATAGTGGACGAAAATTTTGCTGCCTTACCATATACGTGATACCGCTATTGGTGCCAGCATCATAAGGATACAACGGCAGCGTAGCCGAATGCGACCACGTGCAGTTGGCATTACAAAGCTCTAACGCCGATACACCCACAATCCAGTCCGGTGACGGCGAAAGTTTTGAGGCTAACGAAACCAGATGGTTCCTGGCGTCGACCCTAAAAACGGCGAAAGTATTTGGAGTGCCGAAACCGGCGACTTGCTGCCACGATATGCCACGAGCTTTTATTATCGTGCGGATGTGGTCGCTCTGTAAAGAGAAACGACTGCATTATATAGGATTTTTATAGAGGTTGGGCATAGCAGGTTTCCCGCTCGAATCGGAGCGCCCGTCAGAGGAAGTAACCTCCAGCTTACAGAAGATCACAGTAAAATAACCATAGAGGTATAAGAATAGAATAGGGGAGATATGTACTCCACTACAAGTGGAAGTGTTCGTCTAGTAGAAAGAGAAAGAAGACGAGAGAAGGCCAGCTATCTCTCTCTCTCTCTTGCGCTGACGCTGCGCAGTCGTGTGATTGGTCGGTATTGCTGCGCAGTCGTGTGATTGTGATTCATCCGTAGGATTTTAATCCAATGTGCATTCGCGATTAGAAACAGATAGGCTAGCCGGCTCTCAGCTTCTTTCTCTGTCTACTAAACGGACACTTTTAGAGCCGCCTTCCCCACTCTATTATTATAACTCTATGAAAATAACACTACCTTTTGGTGTTGTCTTTCTGTCGGTAAGGTTCCAGGGCTGCAAGGAGTAGGGGATTCGTTCAGGGTAGTTAACGGCGGGAGTGATATTTCTTGCATCGCTTGGTCGCTTACCATCAACTTATTTGCGGGTTTTAACATAAAAAATCAACATTTTTATTGTAAAGCAAAACCACAGACATACTGGTCCTAGAAGCTAATTTTGTACTTCTCAGTGTACGATATCAAGAAGTGAGTAGAAATATATGCAGTGTAGGTAAGTCATTACTTATAACCTTTAGACATAGAATAAAGCTTGGACTACTACTTGGACGAAAAGTTAATCTTTCTTCGTCGAATGACACATTAGGTAAGTGATGTAAATAAAACATCTTTACTTATATAAAACAAAGTAACTCCTGCGATCTGCATGCCTAGATCTTCTAAACTACACAACGGATGCCAATAGATAGAGTTATTGAAGATGAAGCTCGTATATACTTAAGACCCATAACAATAGTCTTCACCGAAGCAAAGCGAGGATGAGTCACTTATTGGCTATACAACGTGTAACAGAAATAACGCACACCCTGAAAGTAGTTTGTTATAATAAATGCAAATGAATCAATTTTAGTGATTTTAATTTTTTTTCTTTCATCAGTTTAATCAGTGATATCTCAATGTCAGTAAAATTATTTCATTCAGAATGAATATATAAATGTAAACTTTTTTAGATATTTATTTTTATTGAAATCGATACAAAAGCCTATTTCAAACAAAGTTCTTTCAGGGTATACGACGTATAACTAGTTGTATCTTATTCTTCTAAATATTTATACAAAAATGCCTTAAAACAACATACTTCTGATTTGAGCTCCTTTTCGAGTGCAGTAGTGGTACCGTCTTCAGCTAAACGCCTCAGGCCGGCGCTGGCCACTCTGCCTTCTTGCCACACCCTGTACTGAGCTGTGTGGGACGCACCGATGACGTCACCGAAGTGTGCCTGCGCAGACTCCGGCGGGAAATCGCGCGGGTGCGTGTTACGAGACCACAGGCCTTCGAAAGTAACCTGTTATAAGAGTAAATATGACTAAAAACATGACATGTATTTTTTATGTCGGTGGATGTAGGGTCACACGCAATGTAGAGTTCCGCAATTGCCTAATAAAAAGCGCTTACAGCAAAATTATAGGTAACTTCTTCTTCACATCACTATCATTTCGAACTAGAACTCGGTATAAATGCTCTAAGTAGAACTCGAACAGATTCGCTTAACAGATACAAACCTGGCATAATGCCATCCATACTGTTCCTTATAAGATTAAGAATAGAAAAAACCGGCTAAGTGGTTCCGCAGTTGCCTTTCGTTACCACAATATATTTGAGCAGGAGCTTTTATTTTCTTTATCGGAAATTGAAAAAAAAACAATTTATATTAAACTATGTATTAGGAGTGGGCGATACAAATCGTACATAGATATTGTAACGTATATTGCATCAATATCGTTAAATCCTATATCAATTCGTTCTGAAACTATATATTTTGGCAAAACACTATACTGCATCAGAAACGCGATACACGTTGATACTACAGTTTTGTATGTTAACTATTTAAAGTATATTGAACCATATCGCAATGAAATATGAGCGACTAATGTCAAGCAATAGTAGAGGGTGAGCGTATGATGAGATCACAGAGAAACAGCGATTGTAACGTTACGATGCAAAGCATTTTTCACTTTATTTTCATCGAAATAAAATAGTTTTATAAACTTTAGTTAAGTAATATTTTTGTTAATAAAAATCTTAACCTTATTTTTTACGGAATAATGGAGAGCTTTGTTTGACACGATTTCATTTCTACTCTCGTTGACATTTGCCCTTGAACTAAAGGAGCAAAGCAAAGGAAAGGAAAGGACAATGTTAAAATTGGCCTAAGAACCAACACCAATTTGGCATTTATGATAATTCTTAGTATATTTTTTGCGATAATTATCAGTATTTAGATTGTGACGGACACTTCCAGTTAAGTTAGCTAAATTAAAAAGTTAATAAATAATCTGAGACAATAAATACCATTTTATGTGTATAATCTATGACAGCGCTGCAAACAAAAAACACTTTCTTCCTAATGCCGGCACTTCACTTGGCTATACGTATTTGCTTTTTAAAAACATGACAGTCTGTCCTTTTCATTCCTTATTAAGCATGACAAGGACAAACTGTTGTCAAGTGAAGGGCCGGCATAAACTTGATACTCTGTGGTTGTGGTGCACGCAGTTTGCATTCGTGGTATTGGTGCATTATCATCAAAGAGTACTTTTTGTATACTGAAAATTCTCGTTCGGATTACCTGTTGTATGTGTTTATTTGCGATTGTTTTTCCTTTAATTTAACTATTACTATTTCGGCTATTTAATATGCCATCGATGTTACCAAAGAGCAGAGACCTTATTACCAAGTGCTAGTGAACCTGTGCCACAACATCCTGAGAGGATCATACTGCCAAATTATTCAAGAGCACCTAATACACATTCACGCTGAATATTAACACAATATACATGTGATAAACAAATAAATACAATATGATACAATTATGTGAAAAATAGAAGCAAATAATAAGAAGCAAAACTATTGTTTTTATTTTATTCATGATTCCTACCTAACCAAGTTCTTCCTAATAGTTATTCTTTAAAATCGCACCGAATAAAATGAATTAGTTGTAATATTAATTTACTTCATACTAAGTTCATAGCTTGACCTATGTTTCATTGAATATTAAACATAACCTCAAAAAAAATTTAGTTTTCCTAATAATTTAAGTTCTCAGAAGTGTCCGTCAATAATCTTTGTTTTTACAGTCATTTCATTTACTTCGAACCTAGAAAATAATATTTCATGATTGTTAGTTCTTAGGCTAACTATGTATGGACGCAAAACAATGTCCTTTGGTGCCTAATTTTAATTTTTATTATTTCGTAATACTAATGTACTCTGTGTTTCATAAATACATTCGATAGTGGAAACAAGTGCATTACTGCATTAGCGTTTGTATTGTTATTGCAAATACATATTGGGGGCAGCCGATATATGTAATTAAAACGATTGAAAAGGGGCTGCAACGAGATAACGATTAATACGAATGGGTTTTCTAAAAGCGTAACGTACTCACGTTTGAAACCTTTGTCGCAAGCTTGTGGTCCGCGTATTCTTCTAGCTAGAGGGGTACACTAACAGCACACACAGTCACAGAAGAAATTCACAGTTTATTGTTGACGAATTCCACTTGTTTGGTATACCGCACGTAAGTATAATGGTTATATGATGTTAGAGAGTGCGCGGGCGCGGAACGGAGTGACGTAGGTCCTCTCGCGTGATCAGTGGCTAACTGTCTGCGTTAGGCTAGTAAAAAACCACATTCGCAGATGCATCGTTCTCGTTGCGAACCTACCCACATTTAAAATAATAAATAAGGAACCACGATTAAGTGATAACGGAACATTCCGCCCACCAAAAATACGTTAAAGTATTTTTCGATATGAAATGAAACGATTTACGACCATTTAGAATTAAGATTTTATTACGAAAGGCATATGAACTATTTTCTAAACTAAAACTATTTATAATTATTTAGGTTTAATAACTACAGCGCATTAGTCAGATTGGTTAGGTAAAGGACATAGCTTTACCAAAGGTCTCGTAAGACGAGAGCCATCGATAGTTTTAACGGTAGCTACGATTCCATCAGGACTAGTATGTAGCACCTCTACTCGGGCCAAAGGCCAATACAATGGTAACGTATTATCGAATAACTACGGATCCTACTTCTAACGGTTTTGCGTGCTTAGTCCACTTAGCTCGTACAGTGAGAGACTGGAGGTACTCATGCTTCCAACGCTTCCAAAAGTCTTGTTGAAAACGTTGAAGCAATTGCCACCTACCCAAGCGACTGATATTTAAAGCCGAGTAGTCTTCGTCAGGAATCTCAGTTAACGGTTCCATCGTAAGAAAGTGACCGGGCGTTAGTACACTTAAATCGTTCGGATCAGAGCTGAGTGGATAAAGTGGTCTCGAATTTAGCAGGGATTCTATCTGAACAAAAAGTGTGGTTAATTCTTCGAAAGTTAATGATTGCTCGCCTATGATACGATACAGATGAGATTTAACAGATTTAATTTGGATTTCCCACACTCCGCCGAAGTGGGGACTCGAAGGAGGATTGAAACGAAATTCGATGTTTTCCTTATGAGCCGCATTCTGCATAAAACGCTGGAGATGATTGCTTGCACCTACATAGTTGGTGCCGCAGTCGGAATGAATTATACTGACTCTGCCGCGCCGACCAACGAAACGGCGAAGAGCTGCTATAAAACCATCAGATGAGAGATCGGAAACAGCCTCTAGGTGAATAGCCTTGGTGGTGAGGCAAACGAAAAGACATAAATATGCTTTACCTAATTTAGCACCACGATGCTTTCCAAGTTTTATACGAAACGGACCGCCATAATCAGTACCGACAACTGAGAAAGGTTTGACTTGATTAATGCGGATTGCAGGCAAATCGCTCATATACGGTTCAAGAGGCACAGGTTTTGTTTTATAGCATGACACACATTTGGACACACATTTGGGTTTAAAAGATACTGCATTGTATTAACACCGGCGTGACAGTTTTCACGATGAAACGCTTCGATAATGAGATATGTGAATCTAGAATCACGCGGAATCAAAGCGGGATGCTTATGTTCAAACTCGAGACCAGATCTGGCTAAGCGACCGCCCACCCTGAGAACTCCAGAGGGGTCTAGAAACGGATTAAGTTTACGCATTTGTTTTGAAAGAATGTGTCCTTCTTTCAACTGTCGAATTTCAGTTACGAAGGCAAAAGATTGAACATGTTTGACATACATCATTAAAGCACTATGAAGCTCTGTACGAGTAAGGAAAAGATCAGAGCAACACGAACGCTGATTACGAAGGAAAGAGGCATATCTTAACCACCAACATAGAATGCGTTGTATTTTTGGAATACATGAATAACGTCGAAGAAGAGTATCGAATATCGATATTTGGTCAGACTGGCCATTATCATGGATTAACAGAGCGCGTGGAGGCTTCCTCTCCAAGAGCATATCTTCTTCCTCGGAAAGATTGATCTGCTGAGGCCAGCGATCGGAAGATTCTAAAAGCCAGGAGGGCCGCGCCCACCATAGACTATTGTTTACAAGATCAGATGGAAGCTGTCCGCGAGAAGCGATATCGGCGGGATTATCCTCAGAAAAAACATGGTTCCATTTAGCGATGGGAAGGACTTCCTGTATGTAAGCGACTCGATTGGCGATAAATGTCTGCCACTGAGAAGGATGTGAACGAAGCCAGGCAAGAACAACCATCGAGTCAGTCCACGCATAGACCTGAGTAATAGAAAACTTGTGCGAATATGAGTTAAGTACAAACTTTAATAAATCAATTAAGAGCACTGCTGCACATAGCTCGAGGCGTGGCAGAGAGGTTGATTTCGTTGGAGCTACACGCGCCTTCGAACAGAGGAAAAACACTCTTACTTCACCGGATACATTGACTAATCGTAAATAAATTACAGCGCCGTAACAGGTTTCCGAGCTGTCAGAAAACCATGGAGCTCACACGATATAATGGATACGACAGACACGCAACGGGGAATTTTAAGAGTCTCTAAGAGATGAATCTGGTCCAGATAACGATTCCAGAAGCGTACAACATCGGTAGGCGGGTCCTCGTCCCAGCCCACATTAAGAACCCATACCTTACGGCGTTGAACCAAGACCTTAGCAATCAAAGTAAGGGGCGAAAGAAAACCTAAAGGGTCGAAAAATACTGGGATTAGGGTTACTGAAGCGGTTGACTGTCCTAAGCCACGAACTTGACGTGATCTCGAAGTGTGAGTAATACCTAAACGGTGAAGAGCACGTTCGGTAATGAAATGTGCTTGACTGCCAGAATCAATCAAGGCACGAAAGTTTTGGAATATGCCAGACTGATCGCGTATTTGAATGTAAGCGGTAGATAATAGCACGACTGAACCATCGC